AAACCAGGGCACGCAAGGAAGCTCGCGTTGAGAATGTGTTAAATCCCTCAAGGGCATGAATTAATCTTAATCTTGGGCACGGGAGAGTTTATGCTACGACTTGCATTCGACTCGAATGGATGAAGTGCTTTACCGAGTCCTACGAGGGCACAAATTGTAATCTCACAGCGTGGCATGACGAGGCTGATGGAATGGGACGCATCACATTGTGATGGTTACAATCACGTATTTTGCACGCCCAGTTATTGGAGTTGCACTGCAAGAAGTGGCTTATGTTCGTAGATCTCTATAGATACCACGAAACCTGGATGCGTGAGTCTCTGAGACTCAGTCTCAGCGCAATTAGTGTGCATGCATACTTGTCTCTGTTCAACTGTTGAACTTCAACGGGACCTGCTGTGAGGAGTCCTCACTGAGGGCTGGTGATCCGAAAGTTAGAAGGGAGCGGTCGTATGCCTACTGACCATTTATCTGGGCGGTACTGAGAAGGGCACAATATTATCAGAATGGTCGACTGGTATCTCGACTCCGACTATGTGGTTGACAACCACTGGTTGTTGGTCTTGACTTCTGTTGCCGTTTTTGGGCCAGCTGTGGGGCGCTGACGATTATCATCTCGACATGGAGGGCGTTGAGTCTCTCCATTGGTTACATTCTTCATGTTACTAATGTGCATCGATGCTTGTTTAATGAAGTCGTATTGTCAGCGTTAGGCTTTCAAGTCGCACACATCATGGTCATAACAATTGCAGCGATTGAATTGCTGAGACTGTCACTCTGATCATCATGACTATTTTTCACACTGTGCAATTTTTTATAGCCGAAAAGGTTAAGAATCTAGGCCGTTATCCAGACCTCTGAGCTTTGAATTATACAGTAGACGTTATTGCGTATACGGTCAGAATTTCAGCGCGATGCGACCCTCCAATGGAGGGCCTCCATACCGGAGCCCTAGTGTCAACGCTCCTTCATGATGAATCAACCTTGCTTGTCACCTCTCAAAATGCCTCTCTCACCATTGCCTATACTCAGGACTCGTTTCACGCATGTACACGGGAGTGAAAGAGTGTCATTTGTGGCTGACATGACTCATGTCACATGAGTACATTCGTGAAACGATCGATTGCATTCGAAGTCTTTCGGGAAATCTTTTGAGGACTACTGTTGTCACTCCATCTAGTTTTGTCGACCGGAGCTGGAGTATTAAAATTAGATTGATTGCCAATAAATAGAATTACCTAAATTATCAAGTGACGATTCGATCACGACCTCGAGTAGATCCGCCCACAGCGTGTGCAAATATGTACACGCGACTTGTGCCCACTTACTCTAACGATTCCGTGAAACACAGTGTTTCAAACACCTATGGAGTGCTGACTCACAACAACATGAGGTTCTGTTCATATGGGGCACTTGCACGAGTTAGAGAAGCGTTGCTCTTGTGACTCGCATACTCTCAGTACGTTGATCATGCATGCTGTTGTGATCGTAAATTTATAATGGATTAGTTGCTGCTTCGCCGTTGCAATTATGCGTGCAGTGCAGAGTGCGTGCATTCGCAAGCGTAGTTACGATTTGAAATCGTAACTACGCTTGCGTAATTAAATTATGAGATCCACTCGAATCTTCATTAGAGGAATTCTCTGAATGCACAAGCTGGAAGATTGAGAATGCTAGGATGACCGCTACTAGCGGTCCGCTAGAGGTAGACTCTAGCGGTCCGCTTCATCCCGGCTGGTGGTCTGTGGTAGGAGGATCTGCCCGCTCCTGTGGGCCAGTCTGTTAGCCGCATGGTATCGAAGCTGCGCGGCGCCAGCAGAGGCGCTCGTCGGTTGAGGCTCAGCCTCAACCGTGGCTTATGCGCGCATACGTCAAAGTTTGACGGTCAAACAATCGATTACATTTGGAGTCCTTCGCGGGATTCTCAGAAAATTATTCTCTTGTCAATTATCGTTAACATCCCAGCCAACCTTGTCGACCGCTGCAAACTTAGTGCTAAGGAATACCTTACGCCCGTATCTACTTTTAGAATTGTGTTGCCAGAGTCGCTAGCATCGACTATTTATAGTATCAATCAACGACGCGATCACGACTTCGAGTAGATCCGTCGAGAGAAGGTATAGGTCGCACAAGGCGGTTGTGGCACAAGCGCACAACTGTTGTGCGGAATGATTCATTAGGACGTTACACCGAGGATGTTCTGCGATCCAGGTGAATTTTTTCTTTCCATCACACATGAAGCTCCTCATCACCCTGCTGTGGGGGTTACTCTCCTCCGCGGTGGTTGGAGACCATCGGACTCACCCGGTGTCGGAGCCCCATACATTGCGCGCGCTTAATGGAGTGGTTTATCGGAAATACCAGGAG